CCTAGTTTCGTATGGTCCTACCAGCTATGAATGTTTTTTGCATTCATAAAGGATTAGGGGGGAAAACAAAAATAAGAATATATAATAGAGACTGTGTGGCCTACAAAACCTAAAATATTTGCCATCTGGCGTATTACAGAATTACATTCACTATTACATACATTTGTTAGATTAATTATACTTGTAGAAGTCTATCAGAGGAAAATAATCAGATACAGGCAAAGACCAAAGACTGAATAATGGACAAACAAACTCAGCAAAAACTAGACAGAGCCTACATTTTTAAGAGTAATGAGTGGATAAATAAATAGTCATAAGACATCCACACAGTAAAACCATTCTTTAGAAATAATTAATGAAATAATGAAGTGTTCTTAATGAAGTATAAGGTGCAAAAGTATATATGTAATATTTTATACTATGCATCAAGGAAAGACTACAAGGAAATATATTACATTTTCAAGTGGTTATCTTTGAGTGTTAGCATTAGCGATGGGTTTTTATTTTTGTTTTTTTAATGCTTTTTCATGTTATCTCAGCTTTCTGTTATGAGCTCACATCATATTTATGGTTAAGTAAAAAATATATCTTTGCTCCTTCCATTGTGTCCACTAAAAGAATATGAAGAGACACAAGAGTTGAGAAAATAGAGAACTCTTTGAGGAATGTGTCCATGTTTTAGTCTTTCTATATTTGCCAGGTGTTTGTTAAAATGTTAGTTTAAAGAATAGGCAACTAGGTAATAAATACAAAAAACTGCTCAGCCTCAAGGAAATGCAGGTTCAAATTATGTGTATATAGCCTATCATTTTCCCCTTATCAAATTAGCAAATATTTTGTTAAATAAAAATGTTTGTTATTTTTTTATGTCAGGTTTTTTTGGAGGTATAATTGACATACCATAAAGTTCACCCTTTTTTAAATGTACAGTTTGATGCATTTTGAAAACTGGATAATCATGTAACTACTGCCTCTATCAAGATAGGGAACATTTCCATTTCTATCACCCAAAAGTTCCCTTGTGCCTCTTTTGTAGTTGATTCTCTCCCCTCATCCCTAATATCTGGCAGTCACTATTCTGGTTTCTGCTGCTGTAGTTTTCACTTGAGTGTTATATAAATAGAATCATATTTATATGATTCAAGTTTTTATTTATTTTGGATAAATGCCTGGTAATGGAATTGCTTGGTCATATATGGTATATGTATCTGTAACCTTACAAGAAACTGCCAGCCTGTTTTCCAAAGTGAAAAGTGATGGTACCATTGCATCCCCCCACTTGCTAAAATGT